TCAATAGCCTATCTAAACTACGCGAAGATAATTATCATAGGAATTGTATTATTATAGGTAGACATCATAGAAGATCTAAGTATAAAACAGTTTGAGATCGAAATCCTTGACTTAAGGACTTACAATCCCAAACAAAATTGCGACATCGAACTAATAAAATACAATATATTAACGGGCTCGGTATCAAGCGTGACGATTATACTTATACTGCAAATACGTGTGTATTAGCCGCGCAGGCGCAGGAGTCATCGCCCGTACTAGTGTCGTGATCGAAAGTAAAAGTGACAGCTATACACACAGTGTACGAGTGTATGTGTGTGTATGTGTGTGTGTTTTGTGCAGTACACCTGAGAACAGAGGACAATGAGATTGAACTTGTTGTTGATTTAAACTGGAAATTAATTATGCAAGACTTTCCAAGTCGATTTTACAATGGTAGGTCAGTTATTGAAGTGTGTGAAAAATTTGACGAAGAAAATATTATTCAATTTTAAACGCAAAGTGATTTTTATTTGTCTTCCAATTAGAGAATAGCTTTTGAAAATAAATCGTACCATTAAATGAGAAATGTAATTTTCTTACATTTTGAATTTTAAACCTGATATAACCATATAGAAAATTTGAAAAAATTATAAATTAGTAGGTACCTACCTATTATAAACTAACAATCATTATTTGGGTACAAAAGCTTCAAAAATATTCAAAACAACCTAAAAAAGGAATACTAATTAGAATTTAATATCCATACCCAAGATTCTATTCCCAAGCATAATAAAACCTTAGCAAAGCAAATATCACTTAATAAAAATACGAAACACCATCGCAACCACAGACTATAATTACCCATTCCAGAAAAAAGTACGTTTTAAAAACTCCAGAACATCAAGATCTAAAAATAGCTCAGAGTTACCAAACTGGTATCATTTACTCTATGGCCAGGCTATGTATGTGTGCGTAAACCTAGTCTACATGTCTACATTGTCTATGTGTGTGAAGGCATGTCGATTATTCTTGAACTACTTTTGTCTTTGTTAACTCAGTTTATAAGCGAACGGTTTATTTTTTTAGTTATATAATAAATATGTAATTATTAAGTTGTCTTGATAACCTTCGAGTTAAGAGTTAACTGTAAAAGTTAACGGCAGGGGTTATTGATATCTTGGGAACCTTTTTGCAGATAATTAATTGGTCGTTATTTTCTTTTTAACTTGCGAGTTATGAGCACTCGATTTTAACTGGTTTAAATTGATCAAGTTGTATTGTAAGCTCCACTTTTTTTTAAGGGGGGAAAATCATCGAAATACTGCTCCCGCCTCGGTGAGGCCGTAGGGAGTGTCAGACTCTTACTGACTAAAAACCACCCCGTTCCTTCTCCTGCACATCGAGCCGGAGCCCCTTCAGCTCGACTAATGTTGAGAACTGCCTAATAAAGACGAACGTATGGTAGCATAACGTTACGCCTGTCGTTGTTTGGATATATAAGTAGAGGTGTTAATAAAAAAGTTAAAGTTTATCCAAATAAAATTGATATAGGTTTTGTAAGTAAAACATCCATAGTGTATTATTATTTTAGCTAGGAATAAAAAATAAAATAATGTTCTTAGTTCCAAAGGCATTTCTGGAGAGCTCCAGATCCATCATTCGGAACAAGTCCACTGTCCATAAAGGCCTCACTCTCAAGAGGAGTTTCCCATCGATAAACCCGGGCTTAAAAGGCACCTTGAGGATCACCATTAAGTAACCGAATATTGAAAGAATTCGGTACTTTCCTTAATCAAAAATAAATTATTACGACTGTTCCATACAACAAAAATATGAAAAATAATCACGGTTTTATTAATTGATTTTATGACCAACTTAATTTTAGCATTTAAAAGCTGTTTACGTAATAAAAACGTGACGTCACAATTCACAAAATCGTACAAAATTCGTAGAAAACTGTCGTGTCGTGTTTGACAGTTCGAAAAAAGTATTGAATTTGACTAGTTGTCAAATACCGTATTCTGCTACCCGTATCTCAGTAGCTGGTCAAAGTTCTATAACACATGTACCCGGATCCGTAGTCCAGGTCCACCCATAACTAAATACTAAATGACACTATTCACTGGTGCCTATGCCTACATAGAAAGATAACAAAAATTCCCCCACACCTTACTGAGTAGGTGCAAAGTTGCCCTAGAAATAAGTTCACTACATAGAAATCTAAAGAATGTTGCGTGCGATAAGAATGACTGAGGAAAATACTTCAGAGTATTAAAATGCAGGTATTGAATAATAGGTTTTATTGAGTGGCTGTGATACATTGCATGTTTACATAGGGAATCGATGTTATTACAATTCCGAAGAGGGATGATAGGAGTACCTACACTACGATACAATAATGCTAGTGCTATGTGATGCAGTCCATTGCTGAACTCTAGGTTTCTTCTACATAAAGAGGGTTTTTTTGTTGGGACAATCCCGACACAACCTCCCAAATCCGCTGCAACTCCTGTAAGCCAGGATCTACAGTAGATACAACTATGAAAACACCGGAACCGTGAAATCCGGCGCGTCCCAGGGAGATGAATAACTGTCCAGGGACATGAATTACTCTGAATATCTTCTGATTCATTTTTTTGGTTGCGGAAAAGCAACGAGGTGAATCAGAAGATATTATAAGAGAAGAAGAAAAAATCGATAGTTTCCACTTCCCTCGGTGAATTACTGCAGGATACAGAATGAATTAAGTTTTTTTTTTAAGGGGGGAGAATCATCGAATGACTGCTCCCGCCTGGGTGAGGCAGGAGGTAGTGTCAGACTCTTACTGACTAAAAACCACCCCGTTCCTTCTCCTGCACGTCGAGCCGGAGCCCCGGATGAATTAAGCCTAAAGGCACAAAAAGAGACTGTACAACTGGGAAAAGCCCAGTCACCATAAAGACGGTATGTCATAATCTTCTTGTTTGACAATTGACGTACCTTTGTAGGCAGATTGGAAATCGTAATGTAAAAGGCCTATCAAAGTTCTACTACTCGGGCTCTGTTATATGCACCTTTGTCGGATATTTCTACACTTGCTGGAGCAGTAGGGGTACCTTCCTATGAGTTAATGTGTTCTCCTCTACAGTTACCAAACGGCTTTAAATTGAAAATGAAAATATTCCAATACCTAGGTACAATATTTGGCATTGAAAACGAAAACTCTTTACTTGACAACCGACCACATGGTCAGACAGGCAATATTGATAAAATTATTTCACAATAATAATAAAATGTTTATTAACGATGTCGGTATTCGAATACAAAAAGGTTTCTTTTACAGGTTGAGGATAATGTCAGAACAGGCTCAATATCTTTATTGTGCTGTCAACTGTCAGCTGCAGATCTGTTAATTTTATTGCAGAAAACAATATTGTTTCTCCGCGGTACTGTTGTGACGTAACTACTTCGTTCGTAAGTTTAGTTAGAATAGTAGGTAATTATTAAGATT